TTCCTGAAAATATGTTCTGTGATTATAGGTGGGAAATGAGAACAGCATCCATAATCAATCATTATTTAATCTATCTGTATTAACTGCAAGATGAGTAGACGCAGTTTGTCCTGCAATAGACAACTGTAGTTTAGGGGGAAAAAGGGTATTTTACGCTTTATACCCTACTAAAGGCTTTTCTGTTCTACGTACATATAGTTATGTCTAAATATCACAACACCTGCTAACTTTCAGGGTATAAAAACACTTTCTCAAATGCTTTCATTGACTTTCCAATCTGCCTGAATAAAACGTGTTATAACAAGTGCCCTTTGTACACAAAACAGTAGACTATGACACCTTTTAAAGAAGAAATGTACACAAGATGCGAAGAATGCAAACAGTGTTCACACATATGTTGTTGAAATCATTTATGGACAGAATCCACCCTGGCAGAACTGATAATGTCCAAACCAAGAGCTAAACAATGGCCCTTTCGATAAAGGAACAGGCACAACACCTCTAAATGCAGAAGTTGTTCGTGTTGAAAACTCATGATCCACGTTCACAGCCCTTCTGCAGGTCTCTGCTTGTTTGTATTCATGACAATACAGCTGTTCCTACACACCTCATGCAGGCAGTGCTCCCCACAGATCAAACCCAGCTTTCATCTATAGCCGAGAACAGGAGCAATCCCCCTGGCTTCAGCAGAGACACTCTCAGTTGAAATAAAGAACAAAGGAAAACCTGTTTGGACTGCAGGTCTGGCCACACACACATAGTTCAGAACTAACAGAAATAAATGCTAACGGACATCCCTGTTTCCAAGGAAAAAAAACCCTATGATGACTGCTGTATTGATATTCGGCTTTTAAATATACCCAACCTAACTTCACATCTTTATTAGCATCTTACAGCAATAGCTCCATTCTCAACAGGATCCAGCAAAACTGTCTTTCCACCCATTCCCCTACAGAATAATCACTTCCCACACAAATCAAACTTGAATGTGCTTTGCCTCTTCCAAACTACAAGTTCAGTGCCATGCTAAGCTATCAGGTTTGGTTTTCATTTTCAGATAAAAGCCCTGCAATCCTTCCTCTGGAATTACGGCTTGCAATGAGACTCAAGGCTGAGCGTTCTTTAGCTTCTCTGCTCTTTTCAATTGCTTGGTGTTCTTTCCCCTTTTTTAGGAATGTGGGTTTTAACTGATGATATTTAAACCACCACAATGCAGCCCATTGTCATGTTCTCTGATATGATGGAACAAACTATTTGTAAGAATGAATTAACACATGAAAACGCAAGGGAAAAAATAACCAAGAAGCAAACTCAACTGCTGATTGCAGCTGGGATGAGGGCTGGTAACATATCCTAAGCAATGACTGCACCAGATTTTACTTGCTCTATGGAATAACTGGAAGAAATGGCTTTTGTGAGGTCTCAGTGCTAAGAAAAGGACTGCATTTGCGTGCATGTTTCCCAGAAGTACCGCAAATGAGATAAAGAATGAACTTCTAACTGGGAATCGGATTGGCTTTGTCAACCAACCGCTATATTCTGACCTAATAGAGCTGTTGGTACTATTTTGTTTAGAAATGAACATGGTATTTCCTTTCTTACATAATTTTCAAGCTGAGCAGGCAGTTTGCAACAATATATATGTAACAGCCCTAAATAACTGCCAATAAAAACTCACTTTAATGAGTTTGCCTCAGCCTCGAATAAGAACCCTGGTGTGGTGCCACAGCAAGCACTCTTGGAACAGCCTGTCTTCCCTGGCGCCTATGGAACGGGAACAAAGAGGCACCTCTCACTGCTGTATCCTAGCTCAAAAGGCACAAGAACAGCTCAGTCTGCAGCAATCAGCGTATCTCAGGAAGTGTTTTATTTGCAAGAAAGCATTTGGGCTCCACGCTGACAGGTATGAAACACAGCTCCCATCAATACTGGAGTTTCTTATCTGCTAAGGGGATCAACGAAAGCATGCCTCAAGAACAGGATCTGCTGCAGCTCATGAAGACCAGCTCTGCAGAATCTCCTATCCACCACCCTGCCAGAAACCCTTCCAACCTGGAGGCAGGGCTGCTGTGACACCTATCTGCTTCTTACTCTTCTCCAGAGACAAGTTAAGGTCATAGCTGCCAACCAGCACAGTGCCAATTGCTGTACTGTGCATGTGTGTATTTACACAGAGTCATGACTCCTTGTTACCCAACTGGCCATTACACAACGTTTTGATGCACATTTGCCCACATTACACACAGAATCTGACTACAGAAGATGGGGTGCACGTGCTTGGCTGGCACAGTTCACACTCCCTTTTGCCTCCTGTACCGATTACCTTCACAGGAATGGCATGGGAAGCCACTGGAGTTTCAATGACAACACACCGCTGGGTAAAGATGGAATTCTTCCTCCTTCATGCTGTGAGACTTCCACATGTGGCTAACCAGCAAGTCAGTGCTAAACAAGGAAACTGCTCATGGAAATGCTTCTGAATGTGCGTATGAAGTGCACAGGCCGAAAGCCAGAACTTCCAAACAGTGCAAAAAGCAGAGCTGTAAAGTCAAGAGTGAGAAACGCAGCACAAAAAGAGAAGCCATGCAGCTGTGTCAGAAATAACAGCGTTTTCCACATACCCATTGAAACCTACAGCCTTGCAAACACTTCGGTGCTCAAGCCCCAGAAACATCAATGCGCATTAGGTACCCAAGTGCCGCTGTAGAGCAGAGCCCAACGTCCCAATCCCGTGAAGAACTGCACATCCTCTGCAAATTGCATTTCCAACAAAGCCCATTGAGCTACAGGGACTTAGCACCTCGTAGAAGGCAGTTTGGGCGTCTTAGAACCAAAGTGCTCTTGTTTTTTAAAGGGTGAGCATTACTGCATGATGTTCTCCCAAGGGCTGCATAGAGCATCACCTTAGCCTACAGAGATGCCCAAAATACCATGCATTATTGGTAGTTAATGTGCAACTAAGGGTAAAAATCAAATAACACCACCTTCATAGACTGTAGGAGATGTCACAAAGATGAACACCAAGAGAAATACAGTTTGGGACTTTATTTAGTATGTAAATCACTATAACAAAAATAAGATACCTGCCAATTGCACATTATTGTCCTAGCTCATTTTATACTTATAATGAAATTCATGCTAAATATCAGATATGTTCTAGGTTCAAGACATCTCAGCTGCAGATCTTGGACTAAATAATGGATAATTCAACATGAGAGAACCTACAAGACGCATGAGTATCTTGGCTAATTCTGTTGCATTGTAGGGAATAAAAGACCCCATCATGCATCAAACACTCCCATTGGGGGGGGTGTGTGGCCTTTTCTGTACCTGGAAATCTTGTTTAACAATAATTTTCCAAAAGAAATCAGATCTGCTCCCTTCTGATAAGGTAACGAACCGTTGTTAACTGAGCGTGGTAGTCTGAGGACATCAGGAACTGGCTTGGCTAAAACGTTGTCTGCATTAGGACAACACAATAAACACATGAAACGATGCACTGAAAGAATAATGCCAGCCAGCATCACAGCATGCTATGGAACTTGGCTGGGAAACAGAATAGTTTGTGTCGGGAGGGACACCTTCCACTGGAGCAGCTTGCTCCAGGCCCCTGTGTCCAACCTGGCCTTCAACACTGCCAGGGATGGGGCAGCCACAGCTCCTCTGGGCACCCTGTGCCAGCGCCTCAGCACCCTCACAGTGTGCTGCAATTAAATAACAGAATTAACTATTCTGTTAGTTAAGTTATTTAGGAAGTTCTTAATTAAAGCTACACATTAAACCTGTGCCTGTTCACCTACACGTACACGGTGGGGCTAGGTCCTGCTCCCAGAAAAAGGGATTTCCGGAGCAGCTTCAAGTAAATATTTGGCAGTTCCAATTCGCAGGTTGAGAACACCGTTAATTTGCCAAATTTTCAGACAGGGACAAAAAGCCCATTGAGACGAGCACTCAGTCACACTGCGAGGACTCCTCCGGGCACACTGCAAAGGAAGCAAACCAGAACGGTGCAGAGAACACCCGCAGGCTCTACTTAAACAAAAACCCGCTTGAATTAATGGGTGAAATCCCTGCGTTTCGTTACTGCCCGGGGGGAGACAGGTCCAGAAGGGCGCTGCGCTGCCCCGAGTAGAGCCGAACCGAGCCGAGCCGAGCCGAGCCGAGGGGGCCCGGGGCTGCCCCGAGGGGAAGAGCGCCCTCTGGCGGCCGCGGGGAGTGCGCCCCCTGGCGGTCCCTCTGGCGCCCGCCGAAGAGAAACTCCGCGCAGCTCAGGCGCAAGATGCGCGGCGCGCAGCCGGCTCGCGTAGGGCGTGCGCGCAAAAGCAGCCACGTCCGGTGGCGCAGCGCAAGCGGGCTGAGCAGAGCAGCGCTACCTTTCTGCTGTCAACCTGAAATGACCAGCTCATTCACATCCGCACCTGTAAACAACCACGGTTTACACGCACCAGTAACCCCATAGCACGGGCACTGCATGCAGGTACTGCTGCCTTCGTTAAAGAGCAGGCAGGGTGTTCGCAGATAAGCAGAACCCTAACTCGGAGTTTGGAACGGTCACAAAGAGCGCTCTGACTTCCAGCTGCTTCTCTAAATGATAAAGTTTTGCTAACAAATTATCACCTCCCTACCCTACCTGTGCTGCAGTTTCAGGCCACGTTCCACTGCAAGGGTATTTTAAGCAAAGGTGAAGATATCTTTAGAATCTGGGTTTGGACGGGCGCGTTATCAGATGGGGGATTTCAGCACAAAGCGCTCCCTTGCAAACAGGAGCAAGGCTCTAAAGTCTGCCTGGAAAATCGTCATAACCAACACTTTGAGGACTTCAGTTACCTTCGCTCCTGCGGAATTCCCTTCATTTCCAACCAAAACATTCCTCTCTGCCCAGCCACCTCCGACCAAGTTCATCGCACGAAGAACGATTCAGTAAAGCAAACACAGCCTCAACTCGCCTGGAGGGAGAAGACCCTCGCTAAGTCAGAGCCGTTCCCCGAGGCAGAGCTTACCTCTTCAACTGTCAAAGGCATGCAGATCCGGTACTCCTTCATGAGCATATTCCCCCTGCCTCGGTGCGGACCAGCAAACCGGGAGAAAAGTGGTTATTTCGGCACGATGATCACGACGAAAACCAAGCACGGGGAGGGGGGGAACAAGCGAGTCCCTTTCTCGGTGCGCGCTTGACAATGCGTCCACACGACAGTAACGCGACCATGCAGGAGGGCTGACCCCGGCGGAGGAGAGCCAACACCGCTGCTCCTGCCTTCCAGTTCCTCCTCTTCCAGAGCGCGCTCACGGCAATCCCGCACCGGCAGCCGCCGCCGAGTCCCGCGCCCCAAACGCCGCCGCTACAGCCCGAGGCATCCGTCGGAAGCGTGCGCAACCGGCCGCCTCCCGCAGCCCCGGCGCGGCATGCCTGGGGCGGCCGCGGAACCACTGAGCCCCCCCCCCGGCGCAGCCGGCAGGAAGGACGGGCGCCGGTTACCGAGACAAAGGCGGCTCGAACGCCTCCTTCCCCCGCTGCTCGAACGCGGCTCCCGCTGTGCCCGGGGGGCCGGAGGTGGTGGTGATGGGGGGGGGGGGCAGCGCAGCGATCCGGTGGCCGCGGGCTCGGAGCGGCTACAACGGCCCCGGGGGGGCGGGTGACATCAGCGAGGGGCGGGTTTGAGCGGCGCGGCCGGGCCGCGGAGCTCCGGGTGTCGCCCGGCGGTGCCCCCGGGGAGGCAGCGCTGGAGCGGGACAAGCCCCGGCCCCAGTTGATCCCAACGCGGAGCCGGCTCGATGCGGGGCGGGGGGGGGGGGGGGGGAAGGCTTGGTCCTGCGGGGGACAACGAACGTGCAAAGCGCTCACAACGCGGGGCAGGGAGAGCCCCGTCAGGGCCCCGGGACTCCGCAGCCGCCTCTCGTTACCGGCGGCGGGGCAGCCGGGGCACAGGATGTGAAGGCCTCACCCATTTCCCTTTCGGTCAGCCCTGCGTTATCTGCAGCGCAGGCACAACCCGTGTGCTCCTATCGCCTTGTTCCTATTTACTTTCGAACGCCACGTACAAAGTTGGGTGGAAACGCGCCGCCCCCCCACGCTGAACAACGGAGCCGTTTCAGGAGGGCTCACCCCGACCCCGAGTAGGCAGATGCTCAGTTACACCGGGTTGCAGTGGGCGTGGGGGCCGCGGTTTCGAGAGGGATTTACCCCGTATGAAGTTGCCACTTGGTAGCACAGGAGCCCGGGTCTGGAACGAGGGGGGATCCCCCCGTTGCACAACCGCAGGTCAATGATAAAACCTTGTATTGCTGCTTGTCCCTGCTTTCCAAGCGGCTGTAAAGCACGGATCACTGAGAAGCACTGTGCCAGTAACGTGAGAGCACAAGGCACTGCATAATGGCAAACACACACCTGCATTTAAGCAGACACCAGCTACAAAACTGGAATGATGAAAGGCCGTATTGAGGACTGCTAAAGATGAATGGAGGTCTACAGTGAAACGTGTGTTTCATAACAAGACAGAGCACAAACCCCCTCAGAATCCCATTGGTCCTGGATGTACATTTCGAAGCCATGTATATGGTTTTTAGCCCGGAGAGGACACAGTGCCATCTCCTGGAGCTAACGACAGAACTTTCCCATCCCATTGCAATAACGGCACAATATTTCACATGCTCTGCCTTTCCCATGAAGTGCAAACACCTACACAAAGACATGGAAAATCTGGGAGCTCTGGGAACAGCCTGGATTTTCAGCGGAGGTACGAACAATGTCCTTAATGAGACTCGTATCTCAGACCTGACAACAGCTATTACATACCAAACCTGGGGCTGTAATTCATGATGTTTGTTCTATGTGTTCCTGAAACTTCCATGCAAAATAGCCAAAACAAGGCAATAAACTGTGCTAGGCCAGGTTGGATGGAGCTTGGAGCAACCTGGTCTAGGGGAAGTTGTCCCTGCCCATGGCAGAGGGGTTGGAACTAGATGGTCTTTAAGGTCCCTTCCAACCCAAACCATTCCATGATGCTATGATATGATATTACCTATAGATTACAGGTAATGCAAATTCAGATCTAAACCATCTGCTTCAGTTTTAAGTGATTTGCTAATGGGTTCATTCATGGAAGACAATGTATCTGGATTACTGCTGAAAAAGCAGCATAAGTAAGTGGAACTTATTTGCATAAGGCCTTGATGCTACTCAGCTGTAGGTAGAGACACTGATTTCAATAAAAATAGGAGAAAGACCTAAACAAGTTTATCTCCGGTTACCTGATTTCAGCATAAGCTGACCATTATAGCTCTATTTAAAACATCAAAGCATGATGTCTGCAGAAAGTAGTATCTGATCCCGGAGCTGCTTCAACCAGAAACCAAAATCACTTCCCCTACCTACAGTGAAACGCTCTTCAGTCTCCCCACACTCACCCCCAGGGGAACAGCCCATTTTAGTGCTCTCTGCACATGCACGTGGGGAACTAACCAGGGACCCCACCAATACCCTTTACAAACAGTGCTCACCAAATGCTTTCATTTCAGGTCATGCTGGCAGGGAAGATGTCTGGCTCCAGCTAGGCAGGATTTCTGCCAAGCGAGCCCACCTCAGTGTCTGTTTTCTGTGTACTGTAAGAAACAAATCTCTTACCTCTGCATCGTGTTCTCTGTGGCCACTTGTGAAAATGGGACATTCTTCACTCCTCATTCATTTTGACCTGGGGGGAAAAGCCCATATTGAACCATGCTGAGCAGTAACTCCACATGGACTTGTGTCAGCAAAAGAGACAACAAAAGGCAACTACTCCTTGAGGCATTTTTCCAGAGTTTTGACTAAGAACTGAGGGGGTTTTGAGCCATTCAGGAAGTCTACATTGGAGGCAAAAGCTGCCTCCTCATGTCCCAGCACACCCATGCAGGCGAGGGAAGGTAACAGTTGCAGTTATGCATTCACCTCCTTACCCTTTTGCTGCCTGAACCAACATGACTGTGTATGGAAACATGCTCAATTACATTACGTGTGACGTGTTGCTTCCCTGAAAGCCATCGCTCCTTATCCATCAACTGTAAAATTACACTAATATGGAGATTTTGCCATTCAAAATAAGTAGCCAAAGCTCTGTAAAAACCTGTGAATGGCCACCGTTAGGAGAGAGCTCACTCTCTATGACAGGCATGTAGTTTTGGTATTTAGGTCAATTAATAACCAAAAATCATTCCGAATGAAGGATAAATTCTGATAACTAGACTTCTTAAGTCTGAGTTCAAAGAGAAGGTGACTCAAGTCCATGGTCTGTGCTGTGCTAGCTGGAAAGCAAGTACCAGACACAACTGCAAAATACAGTATTGGCTCTGAACTCCTTCAACAGAATTACTCTGAGTTTACACCAGATGCAGTAACTCGGTCTTCATTCCATAAGCAAAAGATGTAGCAGTTATCTCGAATACGCCTTTGCCACGTTAACATGTTGGTACGTACACAGATTGGAGTAACACAACACAAGGTGTAATGTTATAGTAACCTGTTTCCCCCAGGAGAGAACCCCTACAGAAAAGGGCATTCATTGATCAGGATTTAGGAGTTGCTTTCTCGCAAACATACAGTCCCAGCCTGATTTGGGTTGGAAAGGACCTTAAAGCTCATCCAGCTCCAACCCCTGCCACGGGCAGGGACCCCTTCCCCTCGAGCAGCTTGCTCCAAGCCCCTGTGTCCAGCCTGGCCTTGAGCACTGCCAGGGATGGGGCAGCCACAGCTTCTCTGGGCACCCTGTGCCAGCGCCTCAGCACCCTCACAGGAAAGAGCTTATGAGCGCTGAACTCCTCCAGTGATTGCAGTTCCTGTAGTGCATGGAATCCTCTGCTGGGATGGGAGATGACAACAATCTGCCGCCACGTGTATTGTACCGACATCTATCAAAGCCACGAATGGTGCAACACCGTCTGAAATCAGGATGCTTGCGCTCCCCAAAATCATGGCATCTCCTACCTTCTCCTCACCTCTCCAGCAACGCAAGTTGATTCAATGGCTCAAGGCTGGAACACGACACACACTTAAATCCTCATGGTGACAAGCTACTGTACCCCGCCTCCTCCACCGAGGTCGCACCGTGGGGCTGCCCGCCGCACGAACGCGGTGTGCCCGTCCCAACATACAGAGGAACGGCGCAAGAACACCGTCCCCCTGACCCCCCCCGCAGCCCCATCAAGGTCTGGAGCTCTTGACACCGGCTACGAGCAACACCGTGGCTATAGCGGCTGTGCCGAGCCCCCACGGCAGTGCTGATACCGGAGGGCTCCATTGTGGACCCAGTGCCCCGGGCCTGGCACCCCATTCCCGGGTACCGGGCAGACCCCTTCCTCCCGGGCGCGCCAATAGCCGCGCCAGGCTCCGCCCCTTCGGCGTGTCCCCGCCCCTCACGCCCCGCCCCGCCCCGGGTCCTGAGGCGGCCGGGGGTGGCTCCGTCAGCGCCTGCCGAGCGTGGGGCTTTGTGCGGGTCCTGCCCGCTTCCGGTGCGCTGTGTGCCGGCGGGGGCCGCGGGGCGCAGCCGGGACCATGGCGGAGGGCGGCGCGGAGCGGGCCGATGGCCGCATCGTGAAAATGGAGGTGGATTACAGCGCGACCGTGGACCAGCGGCTGCCCGAGTGCGAGCGGCTGGCGCAGGTGAGCGGGACGGGGCGGATGGGCTGAGTCATGGCGCGGGGTGAGCTAGGCCGCGCTCGGGGAGGCCCGGGGTATGCGTGCGGCCGCTTCTTGACACCCGGCCCTGCCTTGGGGAAAGGGAGAAGTCGGGGCTGCTCCATTGCTTCCCTGGCAGCGCACGGGAGGGTGGGGAGGGAGGCGAGAGGAGAGCAGAGTGCAGCCGATCCTGTCAGGTTGGGCAGGCAGCGCTTTGGTGCTGACTGGGCTGTGTACGTGCCCCAGAAGGCTGGCATGAAGGGCCAGAGCCATGGCAGGCTGATGGGGTGCTTGGCATCTGCTCAGCAAACGTGTGTGCACCCAGCCACAGGCCACCTCAGGATGGCTTTTTGGTGGGTTCATAGAAGTAATCACACATAGGGTGTGTGTTAAGGACTTTTTGTAATGGTCTGCCTCATCTCAGACTTCATAACAGACAGAGGGGATTTGCTGTTAGGTTCTGTCGCAGTAGGATGGCATCTCATTTTTTCCATGCCACAAATACCCTGCCTGATCCACGTCTTGTTGTGATGGACACGTTATTCTGTAAAACGCATGTAGGATTCTGAAGGCAGTAGCCTTAAGATGAGCAAAACACATCTTACATTATCTTAAGACTGTGTTGTATGGAGAGTAGGAACAGGCGTTCATGGGCACAGCTCTGCATGAGTATGGACACCACGACCATGGTCACTGCTTCATAACACGTATTGCTATGTGCAGTAAGAGCACATCCTTGACAAAACATTACATCTGGTTTGAAAGGTCTCAGTGGGGTGGGTGTGTTTTAGAAATAAATCTAATTTTCTCTTTTTTGTTATTAATTCTCTAGTTTCTAACCATTTTTTTTTGCAGCCGCACAGTTGCCCAAATTCCCC